AGCAATAAAATCAATTCTACAAAGTGGCACTCATTTTCTCCATTTCTCCATCCAACTGAGGATGTTGGGCAAAGAATATGTGGTTCTTAGTAAGCTGAAATAACAAGGAATAATTAATTTCCGGAGAAAATTAATAGGTTTTAAAAGAAAAAATAATCATTAACTAACTTGCCCTGCCAATGTTGGTAGGGGTGAGGCTTTTCTCCCTGATAATTCCTTGATTAGGATATTGTTTTCGGCTTGATTGTTTGTCCCAGTTCTTTCAGATGAAGGTTAAATAAAATCCTGTTACTAAAAGAAACAATTATGGAGGACTGTAGAAATAAATTAAAACAAGTTTTATTTAAAATAAAAATCTTATTAAGAGTACAGATGGAAGAATGGTTTGGGTCTCAAGCAAAGCTTTCATGAGAGGTTACTTTATGCAATATAATAGTGAACTCCAAATAAGGCATAGGAGAAAACATAAGCTATTTTGGAGGAGATACAAAGAAAGGAAAAACAGTTTAACTTTCCAGGGAAAATTAAGTATTTCTCAACAAATTAACAGTGAGAATTATCTATGTTAACAGAAATGGAAATAAAAATGAATGAAAATTAAAACAAAAAAGTTGGCTGTGCAAATATTGGGGATGATAGAAGGGTGGGAGTTATATCTGACCCTGGGGGTTAGGATGCTCCAGAGAAGTGGTTCTCAACCTTCCCAATGCCATGACCTTTTAATATAGTTCCTCATGTTGTGGTGACCCCCAACCATAGAGGAGCAGTGTCTTGGTTCCTAAGACCATCAAAAATATGTGTTTTCCGATGGTCTTAGGCAACCCCTGTGAAAGGGACATTCGACCCCCAAAGGGGTCGCGAACCACAGGTTGAAAACAACTGCTCTAGAGGATGGGAGCCATGCCAGAGAAGGCTCTTCTGGATCCCAACAGCCAGAGTTCTTTAACTGATGGGATCCACAGTAGGCCTCTCTGCCAATATCAGTGGGGTGGGCTGGACTTAGCAAGACGAGAGTTTATTGGTGACTGGAGACACCTTGTTCATTCTGGCATAAAAGAAAAAAAAACCTTAAGATGTATGGTTTTAATGATTTGTAGGATAGATTATAGAAAGAAGAGTATCATGATGTAACTTTAGAAAGGTCACTTTATAACTGTACGGTGTTTATACTGTTGTAAAAAAAGCAGAAGCCACTTTATCTCTTTTTTCAAAATTTTCTGTTGCTCTTTTCTTTTTGCATGATTAGTTTTTTTTCTTTTTTTCTTTTAATTTGTATTATTCTTGTTTTTAAAGATTTTAATAACATTATATATTGGGGGGAAATGTGATTATCTGTGACAAAATATAAGTTGGACAAAAAAGAAAAGGGGCCCCAGTGTTGAGAGACAAAAAGAGAGCTCTTGCATAATGTAATTACATTTTGAGCCATGCTCATAATTTTGTTGAAATTGTAATATATTTCTTAGAAATGATGTTGCAATAGGATTTTTGTTTTGTTTTGTTATTATTCAAGGAATTGTTTTGGATGTTTCTTCCTGGAAAGAAAAATTTGACCTAAAAATAGTATAATAGTGCCACCTATTGAGCTTCATGTGAATATGCAATAACAAAAAGAAAATGGTCTTGTATGTGAAGACAAAGTGAGCCACAGACATAAACAATTCATCAATACATTTTATTTGGTTTAATGAAGTGGGGGGGGGGTGTTGTTGAAAAATAAGATCCTATCTTGCTTATGATACCAATGAATAAAAATAAGGTTTCATTAATCCAGGTAAATGGAATAAAGATCACAAGCTTTCCATAGAAATTGCAAGTGAAAAGAGTTTGCAATTTTGACAGTGTAGAATGTACCTTGATGGTCTTAATGGCATTTCTGCATAGTAATTTTTTTCTTAGATTTATCGTTGTCTTTCTCTGATAGTGTCTCAAGCAAACTGTTAGCAGGGGGGGAAATGGTAGTAGATTAAAAGGACACATAGCTCCCTTTTATATTGCAGCAATTTTTAATTTGACTTAATTTCTATACTTTTCTTACTTCCAGGAAAGCCCAGAGCAATTTACAAGATAAGAATAAAAAATAAAACTCTCAAGTTAAACCATCACAATAAAAACAACTGTGTTTAAAAGCAATAAATATCAATGTTAGAACAAAATATAATGCAGTGTTCTCCTGAGGCAGGCATCCCATAAAGAGAATGGGATAGGACTGGGCGTTCATTCTCTAGGAAAGCTATAGTTTCACAAAGAAATATGGATACTATTCCAGTGGAAGCTTGGTAATCTATAACTTGAGTATCCCAGGAAGCCCACTTATATTTGAGTAATGGAAAAGCTGGTTGTCTAGACCAGTGTTTCTCAACCTTGGCAACTTGAAGATGTCCAGACTTCAACTCCCAGAATTCCCCAGCCAGCGAATGCTGGCTGGGGAATTCTGAGAGTTGAAGTCCGGACATCTTCAAGTTGCCAAGGTTGAGAAACACTGGTCTAGAAGTGCCCTTAATATTTGGGGGAGGAGGCAGTGGTGGAATTCAAATAATTTAACAACTGATTCTCTGCCCTAATGATTTCTTCCAACAATCAGTTCACCAAACTGCTCAGAAACTTAACAACCGGTTCTCCCGAAGTGGTGTGAACTGGCTGAATCCCACCACCGTGTGTGTGTGTGTCTGTGTCTGTGTCTGTGTCTGTGTGTGTGTGTGTGTGTGTGTTTGTATGTAATCATGGGTTGCTCCAGATGGAGTTATGATGTAAACCAGTGAGGCCATATAATTCCTATCATAAATTGGCAAGGCTTTATTACTGCCCCTTTTCATTTATTCTTCCTGTCCCTCTGTCCTTTAATCTTCTGATAAAGAAGCAGGTATGTTTATTTAATTTGTTTTAATCTTTAAAAGATATTTAAATTTTAGGTTATTACCAAATGACAGGAACATCTTAAAATGGCAAATGTTAACTTCAATTCATTTGAAATATTATCACATCTTTCAGCAAAAAAAAAAGAAAAAAAGTAGTGATGCTGACAAAAGAACAATTAAAACAAATATCCAAAGTTGGGAATCACAACTCATAGAGTTCAGCTTTGTCCTATGGAAGGGCATTGCAGGTAAATTTCATATTGTTTGTTTGTTTGACTTATGTTTATTATAATCTAAAGAGATTCTTCACCATTTACAATAGATCCATAAAAATATAAAAAACATTTATAGTATAACTACAAAAATAAACCAACTCCCAATCAATTGCATCAATTCATGTTCCTCCCTGAAATAACTTGATTTTTGGTAAATTATGAAACCTCCACAACTGTGTGGAGGCTGACTGAATTTCTGGAAGGAGACTGTTCTCTGAACAGATACAGCAATAGAAAAACAGTACCAGTGTCCCCTACTTCCCTCTTCACATGGAAGTTTCTATAAGCAGGTTCTGTCGGGACACATAAGTCAGGCTGTTGAAACTAGCTAGCCAAAGTGGTCCTGCAAATCTGCTGTCAGAAGAGCTTGGCATCAGATGTTGTGGGTGCTTCATCCCTGGAGGTTTTTAAGAAAGGACTGGACAGCCACCTGTCTGAAATGATATAGGATCTCCTTTTTAAGCAGGGAATTAGACTCTAGGGTCCCTTCCAGCTCTATTCTGATTGAATGGCAGAGGGTCTCCTGCTTGAGGAGGGGATTGGACTAGAAGACCTCCAAGGTCCCTTCCAGCTCTATTCTGATTGATTGATTGTTTGATTGAAAGATCCCCTTACTAAGCTACCTAGAGGTTTAAAAGTCAAAAACAGCATTTGAACTGCATTGGTAGAAAAACAGTGCAGAGCCTGGCATACAAGTGTATCTGTGATGGCACTTTGGTTGACACTTTGTGTTGGATACTTATATAAAAGTGGTACCAGGCAATTAATTTATTAGCTATTCTTTGGGGGAGATTCTAGGAGGTATAGGCCACTGATATATGCACATAATATAAAAGCAGGCTCTATTTCAATGTATGAGAGAATCTGAACCGGAGTTAGCAATCCTAGGTAACAAGTAGGAAAACTGGGCATTGCACAAAACTTTTGCCTGCATTTATTTATTTTTTGTTATCTATACTGTATTAGTGGAGGACAGGGGGATCGTCCAGGTTATCTTTCTTTGTAATAAATTTAATATGTGGCCTTTATATATATTTTCCACTAATGTTATGTTAGTAGAAAGTTCTAAGTTCAAATCTAGGCCGGGTCCTCCATAGGACACACAGGGTAAGTTACTTGGAGCAGAGGCAGAGTTTATTTCAACAGCAAAATGTGCAGAACAGCACTTAGTCAGTTCAGCCCAAGTGTCAATACCGACAGAAAAGCTTAAGAAGTACTTTGTTTCTGTTTACTGAGGTCAGATATGGCCATGGCTGGTGGGTGTTGTGGATGGCAAAGGTGACACAGAATATGGAAGTTACTTTCTTCCGACAGTTACATTGAGCTATTTCCCCAAGTTTGTGTTTTTTTGTTTTCATATTGTTATGTTTGATTTGCTGCAACCTATTGGACTTTTGGGAAGTACTCTCACAAATTAATTGCCATCTAAATCCAGTCATCCCCCATTTTATCTTCTAAGACAGTGTTTCTCAACCTTAGCGACTTTAAGTCCTGTGGACTTCAACTCCCAGAATCCCCCAGCCAGCTCTATTCTGATTGATTGATGGCTGCTGGCTGGGGGATTCTGGGAGTTGAAGTCCACAGGACTTAAAGTCGCCAAGGTTGAGAAACACTGTTCTAAGAATTCCTGTTGGGATTAATTTGCAGCATGCCAGCTTTTCCCTTTTTTCTTCATGTTCATCTATGAGTGCATCGGTGCCTAGAGGCATCAGCCGGCCCATCATCACTCTTTTTATATGCAATGTGTGTTTCCCTTTGCACATATTACTCTGTGGAGCACATTCTTTTTAAACCAGAGAACTGCACTGCAAAATCAGAGAAATGTGATAACTGAAGGATAGTAATACTGTGGTTCACATATCACTTTGTGGAGTACAAATGAATTCATACCCCAATGCGTATGTCTTTCCCATATCCCATTTGACAATTTAGCATGTATAGAAGAAAACTGAGAAAATATGCTACACCAGCATGATTGTTCCATCCCAATAGTCTCTTTATAACTTTTGGGAAAATGAGGTATTTCACGAGCACTTATTCTTCATTTATCTTGAATCTTCCTTCAAAGTTAGACTGAGATTGCGCCAGGCACTACCTTACGGATGTATGTATATGATTTCCTCAGGGTGACACTCCCATGATGCGAGACCCCACGTGGGAGAATACACTCCTCTGTCAATTTCTGGGTCTCAGCATCCCAACACAGCACTGTGGCGATGACATCATTCTTCTCATCCCGTCCTCCAGTAATGAACAGTTTGTCGTTGCAAGGAGCAATCCCACAACTAGCACATTCATGGTTTAACTGAGTCACAAGGCACCATATATCTGTGAGTGGACTGTAAGAATAGACTGCTTTCATTGCCCCACCTGGAAAGGGGAGATGGAAAATTATTCTTTTCAAGAAGTGACTGGTTTTCAAGAAGTGACTGCCATTAATCAACTTTGAATGCACGAGACCAAATTTGTCTCTGAGTAAGCCAAGAAGACAAAAGCCAGTAATCTTGTCTCAAAGATTCTTTCCAGATGAGACAGAACAAATCATTATGAAATCAAAGAAGAAAGAAGAAGAAGATTTATAAATCAACAAGCAAATGTAGTTGCTGGGACCTATGAATGAACAAAGCAAGGATCTGGTCAGATAAAAGTGGTGCTGAAGCCCTCCAACTCTGAGTTCTCCTGAATCAAGACATGTGGCTTGAGTCTCTCTAACTAATGCCTAGAAGCTTAGGNAACACAGCTGCTCTGACTTGGAAGGTTAATAAAATTAAGTATAGATTCACAATAAAGTTTTGTTTTCACTTTTCTCTAGTTAAAGATATACTTCAAAGGGATATCTGTATGCTTTCCTTCTTATCACTCTCTATAACCAAGCAGTGAGACCTTGTAGTGCCAAGCCAAAATAATCAGTGAGAAAAAAAGAGTGTTTTGTTTCCAATACACAAACCTTCCAGCCTCTGAGTAGCAATGTTATGTTGCAATTTTCCTTGATCCTTTTTGTATCTTTTTTGTATTTCAAGTTTTAAAAAAAGTCCGATTCCTAAATGAGTTAGGAGAACACCCACAATAATGAAAGAGAAAAAATGTAGTCCATAGGTTACAGAGAATCATAAAAGAAAAAAAAAGAAGAAAACTTAATCCATTCATTTTAAAAGGTTTGCATAAATCCCATCCATAAAGATAGCATTTAAAAAGTAAGATAACCCCCTGTCCAAAACCATTCTGAATTAATTCTGCCGCTTATTTCTTCTGTTCTCTAATTTAAATTAATTTAAAGTTTTTTATAGGCAGTCTCTTTTTAAAATGGTAAAAGTTCCTCACCAGCTGGAAACACTTTCTCCTTCCGTATCCTTCCATTTTGGACCCACCCCGACTTCATCAGCCTTAGCTGGATTTTTTGTCGCCGACTTGAAGAACTTCTCTTGCATCGATCAGGAACTTTGCAATGTCCCTGAGGTCAGCAAGACATATTCTTCCTGTACACTGTCTCTTCGGGACAGTTTAGGTCCGATTGGACCACCCAGCAGCAAAAGTTTTGGCTGCGGTCTCGGAGCATTGAGACCGCATGTCTGTATCGTTGCGATGTTGGCGCCTCCTCCCCCCCCCTCTTCTTTTTCTTTCTCTTCTTTGTTTTTAAGCAAAGCATTGTACAGAATTATTTCCAAATCAGAATTATAGAAATAAAAATAAAAGAATGGTGAATTTAATCTTTTTAATGAGGCCATGTGGTACGGACCAAGAATTGTTTAAATAGCCACTGCTACTGTTTCAACAATAAAGTTTTTCTATATATTTCTAAAACTATTTTACTTTTTTTCTCTGAACATTTGAGGGTTTTTTAAGATTCCTATCCTAAGGTAAAGACAGCGAGGTGACATTGGGCCCGTCACTTTCTCTCAGGCCAATTTACCTAATAGGACTGTTTTGGGGAAAACAGGAGGAGGAAGGTGTGTTGGATATATGCTGCTTCTGAGATATTTGTAAAAGTAATAAAGGTGGGGGGAAAGGAAGGGAGGAAGGGAGGGAGGGAGGGAAGGAGGAAGGAAGGAAGATTGCTGCTACATGTCGCATTGCTGCTATAATTATATTTGGGGTACTTTCTTCAAACAGTTTATCTATTTGCATGTATATGTGTGTCTGATTTGAAGATTAGATACTTATTGCCACTGGAAACATGCAAGTTGAGAAATTCCAAAATGAAGCTGTGCAAAGCATAGTTTAGAGCAGTGTTCCCCAATTAGGCAACTTTAAAATGAGTAGACTTCAACTCCCAGAATTCTGGCTGGGAATTTCTGGGCATTAAAAGCCACACATAAGTTCCAACGTTGAGAAAGTATGGCTGGTTGAGAGAAACTCTAGCTCCAAAGTAAATGCATTCAAATGCAACAGAAAGAAAGCTCATGCACATGTTGTACAATGGGAAACAACTCTTTTTCTGCCCTCTTAATGCTTTAGCCATCTTGGCATTAGAATTATTTGAGCGCTTCATCATTGGATAGTCCACTTTGGGATACTTCTGCCCAATTCTTAAGGATTAAATGGAAACGTACGAGTGCAGTCTTCAGAGAATCATATATCGTAAGGATATGAGGCAGTTATATTTCATGAGCTAATAGCCCAGTTCTTATCGATTACATTGATTTAATACATTTATTGCACTTAAGCATAGCAACCATGTCTTCTGCATCATTTACAACTTGATTACACTGGCATATTTGGAACACACTTTTTTATATCATCACATCTGTTTAATCATGCTAATGGTCCATCTGCTTTTCCTGTGTGATGATGATTCTGTGAAGACAAAAGCTTAATGATGAAGCAACCCATTTATTTCCTCCCTCAAGCGCTTGCTCCTTAGTTCATACTTTTTAAGTCTTGTGAGGAAATTTCTTATATATTACATACGTTATTTTCAGAGAAGGATATTCAGGTTTTACTTTTGAAGTCTCGTAGAATAATATGTGCTTGTCTTCAGATGTTTCGGAGTTGGCTACAAATAGTTTTAAAAACAAACATTTCTACAAAATGTTTGTTACTTGCTTTCACAAATGTGCAACATTAAAGAACTCATTTTGTTGTTATTGAAGAACCCTGAGTTTGTTGGCATTCTGAATTTATTGGAGAAATGAGCTATTCTCTATGTGCATCAGCAAGGATTTTGCACAAGAACATCTCCTTCTTTAGACAATTGCGCTTAAATGATTCCTTCTCTGAGGATAACCCTTCTTTGAAAAGTCTGCAAGAATGGATTGTCTACCCTCCATATTTCAATCTGAAGATGTTTTTGATCCCACCAATAATTTGTCTTCTGGCAGCCATCCTGGTCATTCCTTTCATCTTATTTGTGATTTTTTCTCATGTCAACATACGTCAGGAAACAAGGTACCTTTTGTTGGGCAATGCTTTGCTTAGTGACTTGATGTATTTGCTGCTCTATACTCTGTCTGCGGTTTTCAGTATGTCCACCTTCAACCTCTCAAAAAATGGTTGTATCATGCTGTTGTTTTTGCTAGCAATGACTTACTGTGGAGGCTTATTAACATCTGCAGCAATGGTGCTGGACACTTCTTTGGCCATACTGTGGCCTTTGCATTATATTTCCATTCTGCCTTATTCCCGAGCAAAAAAACTGATTCTGTTCCTATGGATATGCTCTGGGATTTTCCCTGGGATTGTTTTCCTAATACTACACATCACTCAAGACTCTGGGGAATGTCCGGTAGAAAACTGTTCTGTTCCAATAATACTGGCAATGACTTTACAAGGAAACAATGCCATGAAATTCTGCTACATACTCTCCGTGTCTGCTCTTTTTATCTGTCTGACCCTCATTCTTTGTGGTTACATGGTCTTGTATTTTAAAACAAGGCAATCAGGAATATGGAGAAGCATTTTCTCCCGGGCCAGTGTGACATTCCTAATGCATCACATTATCCTATTCTTTCATTTCTCTCCTCTTCTGGCTGTTGTAGTGGAGTCACTCCTTTATGTCAATGATGTAATTGGGCCACAGACAGGAATTTGGGTGTCTATGATAGTTTGTAATGTCCTGATTATTTTGCCCAAGGCTTTGTTGCCTTATCTGTGTGGGCTTCGATACAGAGAAATATCATCATCCCTCAAGTTCTACATCAAATGGAAACGTTCTACAGTAGTAGCTCCTACTACATTTATTTGAGCAAAAACAAGGGCATTAGTGTAACTGTGACCTAAAGCTGTGTTATGCATCTCATAAACTGAAATTATTCATTATTTTATTGATCTGTTGACTAAGTTGTTTGTATTTTTTCCTAATTTGTTCCTAATATCAACATGATGTTGTTATACTAGATGATATTTAGGCTAATAATTTTATTGCTCTGGTTGAAATGTTCTGATGCATGGGTTTAATCTTCAGATAAGAAAATTAGCACCTAAACTGCTAAAATGTCAACCATACCAACCTCATTCTTAGAGTGAATGTTTGTACATTTGACATAAATTCGGGAGTATGATTTTTTTTTTCACTAAAAAGGGCTCAGCACTAATGTTTTGTACCAACCAAGTTTTCTCTTTGTTTTGTATAATATACAGCAGAGCCAAAATCTATTCTACATTTTTTTTTTGCCTTTCCCGTTTTTTTTCTTTTCTGGGGGAAAAAAAATCTACATTCCATGGCAATGTTTCTGAGTTTCTTTATTGTTGAAGGTGGGTAACAGCTGGTCCATTTGTTTTATGTTTTATCTTTCCATTTTGCTGGCTGGGAAAAAAAACTGCTTAGTAAAAGCAGTTCCCTTATGACCTGTTCCCCTGGGATTTCATGGAAGTGTAGGAAGCCAGACCATTGGAGAAGTGAAAAATAGGAATTAACATCTGCTCCTTGTAACTGTGTGCTCAAGAATACCATGGTCGACCTGAGAAGATTTCTGTAAAGTTCTCTTCTTTTATAGAAAATCTTGAAGCAATTCAATAAGAATAGAACAAATGCAGGATAATTTTTCTGCATGAGATTAATTTTCTATATTTTATATGTCCCATTTCTTTTTATAAACATACATGAGAAAAGATATATTCATCTATCTCACTCTTATTCAGGAATCCATGTTATGGATTTCTGCAATGTGTTGTTCTTTCCAGTTTTTCTGTCACATTTCACTTTAGGGAACAGAGACTTTATTAATCCAGTCTGTCAGGCTAACCCAGCCAGCAGCAGAGCCTGAATTGAGGTTGTTCCCCTTTCTCCAAATCCTAGTTCCTTCCAGTAATGTGGGTTATGCCTGCAGATGTTTTATGGTTAAAGACGGGGAAAGACACATTTGTTCCATACAGTTCCAGTTCAGGAGATATAAAGGTTGAAATCTAAGGCAACTGGAAGCATCAGGTTGGAAAAACAATCTAATCATCTCTGCTTTGAGAGAAGAACTCTAGATTACAATTTTGATGCCTCCATCACTGGCTCAAATCAATAATGAAACTGTGTGGGCAAGAAAATAAACACTTAACAGTACATCCTTCTATCCTTTATGAGACAATTGTGTTGCCTCAGCAACATTTGGAGACATTTTCTACTTAGGAGTGCATCAATAATTTCTGTTGCTATAAAAGGGAGGTTGTAGCCAAATTTACTATTTACGTATGGATATAAACCAGATCCTGCCAGGCACATGTATTGGAAAGACCCTTCTCCCTGAAATGTACTTGCTTTTATTTTAAGAACAGCTTTAAAAGACATCCTTGAAATGAAGAATAGCAGCTAAGCAATATATCTAATACAATCCTCAATACTTATTTGGTAATCTTCTACTGGGTTTCATATTTTTTTGGAACCTACTCTGTGGATGTGGCCTGCTTTGTGGGAGTGGCTTGCCAGCCATGTGACCAGGTGGGAATGGCTTGCTGGCCATGTGACTGGGTGGGAGTGGCTTGCTGGCCATGTGACTGGGTGGGAGTGGCTTGGCAGTCATGTGACTGGGTGGGAGTGGCCAAGATGATGTCACTGAATTCTTTGTCCCAATGGATGAACGACAATAAGATTAAGTACAAAATCAATAAAAGAGCTACTTACAGAAGGAAAATGACTGTCTTATCAGTCTTCAGTATCACTGACTCCAATGAATGGGCTGCACAAAGAAGAGACACAGAAATGAACTCTTCCATTGCATGCGCTGCATTGGGATGAAACCAGCACACAAAACAATAAAGACAGCTACTTACAGAGGNTGGAATGAAATGGAAATAAACGTATTTTCTAAAAAAAAAAAAACTCCTTGTCATCTTTTGCGTAAGATTTTTAAACACTGAGAATTGCTTGGATTGATCTATTCAAATCAAAATGATATCTGGAAGTATATTAAATGCACAACTTTTGGGGTATATCCTACTAGACTGTACATCAATTATGACCTCAACTGTGACTTAGTGAAAATGTGTATGAAATTATTGACAAAGAATCTTGGTTTGTATATGAAATGAGAGGAGACACATATATGTTACAGACTCACTGAAAAGAAAGCAAAATATTCTATTTTCTTACATTCAAAGGTTCACCTAAAACTGCATTTTTCTATGTATGTAAACACACACAAACACACACACTCATGCTGTACATTCACTGTAATACATATATAAGCAAGCATCATCCTATTACATTACTTTTAAATGATTTCAGTAATACAAATATATTCATTCTCCTATAGGAGAACCTACTAATAATCAATAGTCCAATTAATACCGTAAGGTATCATTAGTACTAACTTTACTATTGTACATTAGCTAACACTAAAATGCACTTTATCTCTCTAGAAGTATCTGCATGATCTAATTAAAAAGAATATCACAAGTCTGCAGTTTGCAGTAAACGAAAATAAGTATAACTATAATAAGAGTTCTGAGTTAAAGAAAATATGCAAATTATTAAGCATGTGAAAGCAGATATTAAACCTACCGACAACATAGATGTGGTCACGAAAAGTTGTAGCATTGATACACTTTGCTTCAACAGGCATAGGTGTTTTTAAGCACCAGTTGTTTGTTGTTGGATCATAACACTGTGTATTGTCAGTAGCCAACTTTCCATTGGGTCCTCCTCCAATCACGTAGAGTTTCTTTTTGTAACTGGCTACTCCAAATGAGCTCACACTGATCATGAGAGGAGTTCCCTTTATTAACAAACAAATAAAGTAATTTAGGAATGTGTTAAAATTGATTTTGATTTTATGTGTCTTATTATATTAGGGAAATGGAATATGAAATTGAATTAAAGTCCAAAGTTCTACATGCTAGATACCAGTAATTAGGAAGGAGAGTATTACAATAACAGAGAAAGAAAATGAAAAGTTGGTTTAAAATCTTTGGGGGTCAGAAAAAAATAATGCAAAACTTGCTGCAGTGTTCATAGGATAAGGACTCAAAACTTGGCAACTCAGTTGTGTTTGAAAGAAAGAAGGAAGAGGCATTGATATGAATCTGTGGAAGAGAGATTCAAGTCTGTGCTTGCCAATGGAATGCTAGAGTGGCTTTGGGCTAATCATCATTTCTGAACCCATTTTTTTCCACAGGAGTAAAATAAAGTAATTAACAACAGTGTACCAATATTATTATAATAGTTAGAATAACAAGAATTCTTATTTTTCAACAGGGACTAATTCCACAGGAGTGAATTATATTGCAAAGCATAATAAGTAAATAAAGGTGCACAAGAGGAATCTAACATAGAATTCTAGAAAATATTTCTTACATACACTGGAAATACCATTTTGAAAAGAAAGTACCGAAAGTTTTTGCTCATAAATGGAAAATGTGTTTCTTAGGAAATATGTAGCTAAATGTATACGTGTTTGTTTTAATTTAGACCCATGAAAATTGGCACATGAAGTAAAATACACACACATCTATTTTTCGGTTTTGTGAATTCATGCTAATGTAAAAGTGGGAAACAGGAATTGAGAATAGTGGTACAACATTACAACACTGTCTATGAGCAGTGCTTTCCTCAGACGTGTGCACCCTCTGTGTAGGCTGCATCTAAAAACAGCCTGGGATTTCTGATCTGCATTGAAGATCTTCACCTGCAAGAGCTGCTACATGGGGCATGAAAAACAGATGTGCTAAGTTCTGTATGTCTCTCTTGTCTAATCTACATTCATACTGCACAGCTGATAATGGAGGACAAAATAAATGTTGATTTAATACTCAGTGAATCTGCTGGCTAGTTCTACACTGTACTATAGATGCAGATTTTTTTTTAAAAAACCATTTTGGGTGTTGTGTGTGAAAACACTCTATGTCTGTTGACTTAAATTAAATAGCAACAACATTGTGTTATTTTGGTCCTGTTTTCTGTTTCACTAATACTGAAAGTACATCTGTACTTTACCTCAGACCAACAGTTGTGAAAGGAATCATAAATCTCCACACTGTTAAGTCTTTGTACGCCATCAAAACCACCAAGCACATATACTTTGCCACCCAAAACAGCCATTTTGTGCCTCCATCTTCCAACATTCAAATATTCAATTTGGATCCATTTGTTGATAGATGAATTATACTTCCAGACTTCATGTTGTGTTTCTTTTCCTCCTGCAGCAAATAAAAATCAAATTCCACTTTCTTCCAAGATTCAGGACATATCCTCAACAACAGTTTTTGTTCACACGTTCTCATTAGGCTCTTGAGCATTATGTTCTTGTCTGTTTTTCTTGTTCACTAAGATTTAGTCCTCATTGTTTAAGAGATACAGAACTAATTTCAAAAAGAGCTGACACTTTTTTTTATTCACATAATTTAAATACATCTTTATGTTTTAATTGGAATTAAATGATAAAACACATTAGAAAAACAGAAGCCTTTTTATCTATTTGGTTTGTTAGATTTATATCTTGCCATTTCTTCAAGAGCCCAAGTGTATGTATAGTACTGAATCACTCAATATTTTTCCACCAAAAAGTATTTTTCCCTTAGTTAAGAGTTTGACTAAAAGATGTCCAGTAAAACATTTGTGGGAGAGAAGAGATTTAAACTTCAATGCCAGTTTGTCATATTCTTTACATGCCTACACTTGGAAATAGACAAACTTTTTGATCCAGGATGCTGTGCTGTCCTATATAAATATTTTTCCAACATCTGAAAGGTGCAGATGAGACATAGAAGTGACCTAACCAGGGAGGACACAATATTGGTTCCTTCTTTTTGATGTGGGAGATGATCTGGGAGCTTTAAGATGCTAAATCGATGCATCTATTTTGCACTCAAACTTCACAAAAAACGGGGCTACGAAATCATAAGTGGCTGATGACCCACAGGTTCTCCATCCATCGCCATTACCTCAACAATCTATACTGCATAAGAAGCAAAAGATTTATACTTGCACTTATAACTTTATCTATTAATGCTATGTAATGTTTTGGATCTCATTTCCAAAACATACTTAGGACTAATGGGAACCCAAATGTAGCTACTGCGTACTTCAAAATAAAAGTGGCCAGATGAAATACTTGCATGTGCTAAAACACATTTTGGAGATCAAATTCAGAACTCTGCACAGCCCTGCTATTATCTATCTATCTATCTATCTATCTATCTATCTATCTATCTATCTATCTATCTATCTATCTATCTATCTAATCTATCATCTATCTATCTATCCTCTCTCTCT